TCAGTGTGTAGTACTAACCACAGACATATACATGTATAATGTAATACTGTATAGTGAAAAGCACCCAGTGTGTACGGTAGTCTTCAAAACTATTAGTGCCGTACACAATAAAACATTTATTTATATATTTATTTATTCCAATTCATACTTTTGCATGGTATCTACTAAAATTACCCAGTATTATCATTGTACTACCAGCTTTTTTTTTTCTAAGCTGTTAGCCCAGCAGGCTTTCACATTTTGTTTTTTTAATTTTCATCACTGGACCTGCAAAACTTAAGAATCAAGCAACACCACCTTTTGCTTCTGTCAACACGATCAATTCACAATTACTTGATTTGCCTGTTTGTTGAAAACTTGATACCTAACTCAACGGAGGAAGTAACTAGTGCTTTATTAATATACAAGTTGACTGGTTATTTGACTAGGAAAACTAATCGAGTATTCTTATTAGTAATTGGATTAAAATTATATTAAACATGTACTTCTGTTTCCCCAAACAATGAGATCAGTTAGATCAAATGATTTCAAAATCATTTCTAAATTGAATTTATCGCTATGGTAACTGTGGAATTCAGGTAAGTCACATGTATGCAACCATAAAAAATCCCGGCAGACTGAATCACAATGTGGCCATTTATTACAGACTTTACCTCATTTGCAGATGCTTTAGTTATCTACTCTGAACATTGTATTCACTTACTCATTCATCAAGCACTATTGTACACAGACTAGTATTAAGCCCGATATATACACAGGCACCCTTAGACCAGACCCCAAGGGTTTCTGCTAAGTCCCATATAAACATGATTCATGGCACATTCATCCAGGATGTGTTACTAAATGCTATTAACCCATTGCCTGCAGAAAGCCTCCAAGCATCGCCATGGCCTTGACGGAAAAACCACAGCAGGTACCATGTTAAGTAGGATGAAAACTTCTGACCATATGTCACAAAAGGACCTAAATGATAGGATGGTTTTGAATATCCCACACTATACCTGCCATAGTATTGTGATGATTAAAAGTAGAGACTGCCCTGTCATATTACATCTGGATCACATTTCAGGACGAATAATTCATGAAGGCAAATCCGAATGCTAGACATCTCACCTGAATGCAATGTTGCCCTTCAAAACAGTCAAATTATTTCTTCACGATTTCAATCAGTCTACGGACAGTTTCTCTGTGGTCTAAGGCAATTTTAGAAATTCTTTTCTTTAAATTTGGGTTTCCTGGGATATAGCAAAGTCCAATCAACCACCACTGGTGCAGTGGTTGTTACACTGGACCCATATTGATAGATGCCAAGTTCAAACCACGCCTTGGATTGGCCACCAAAGAAACAGATAGAAGCATAACCTGGGGGACTATGCAAGAGGACAAAGCCACTGGACAAGTCATTCATTTTATCAATAAGATTTTGCAATAACCTTGAGTAACTTCTACACATACAAACAGATATGGTTTCTGTGCTGCAAGAATGCACAGTTATGGCACAGATCAGAAGACAACAGTGACATGTTCTAAACTAATGCCAAGCACAGAAATATATACAAAGTATTATTAATGAGTTAATTCACCCAGTACGGAACTGTCATCTGACTACAATATGAACTTTTCACCACCAGACTTTCTCATCCAAATTTTTCAGTCCTTTTTTTTTTCTTATGTTCTTCAATATTTTTGGAAATGAATTCTAATTTTGGAGCAAACAGACGAAATTTTAGTCAATTTTCCGTTTTTACTCATAAAATTTGCCTATTTTTGTTTCAATCTTCTGAAGGAAACTACAAACTATAAACGGGACTATTTTGTGAATTTGTGATGAAAAGGGGAAACTGGTGGTGAAAAGGTTAAAGGTACTTGACATTAAATAACAGTTTTAACACTGTGTATATTTCACTGATTAACTGATTTCATCAATTTACATGTAAGCAACAGAAGTATGTAAAACTATTATGACATTGGGGGGGGTATGTCAGTTTCTTGTATCAATGATGTTTACAATTATAACGATAATAATTTCAAATAATTATTAGAGCATATTTCAGAATTGTCATATTGTGTAGTAATATTTTTTATTAAATCAGTGTTGTTAATTTGGAATTTAGAAGCAATATTGTATGTCAGCAGAGGAGGGGGGATCTAGATCTGGGTCTAGTCTTGGTGATTATTTTTTTTTATAAATCTGTGATGCGATTGTGAAATGATGGTATACATGTACATGCATAATCTAGACTGACTGGTTCATTCTGCATGACAGCCTTTGCTATTAGATATTCATGAGATGCGAGAGTTTGGGCACAGCACAATGACATGCATGCAATAATGGTCAAAATGACATGTTTTTTTTTTCCATTCTGCAGATGCAGCGTGATGCGCTTCAGCTTAGTTTTCAGATGTAGACACACATACTATAGTATAGAACTTTTTTGATGCACATGGTTTTTAGCAGTGTTAATAATGTCAACCTCATCTGCTTCAGTCATAGGCCTTATTGTTGTAGTTCTCTGATTCAGTATACTTCCATTTCACAGAGCACAACAATCATCATTCAATATTGGCTCCTGTACAGCGCATATGTGTGTAAAAACATTATTTGCTTCATGAAATTCTGCATGAGGACTGGACTAATTAAGTCCTTTGTTAATATTATTATTATTATCTATGATGTATGATCTAATATATGATTTTGACAGGCGGTCAACAAACGCAGGTGAGGATTGACCTATTTGTTAACTGCTTCCCACGCTACATGTCGCGCATATTGTCCACGTTTACACGCTGAACTTGTTGCACGTGTATGGACCAATTTGGATGATTTTACAATAATACAATTGTTTTGCAATTATGCCAGCAATCTTAAAAACACATTTTTACTGATTGAAGAAAATAACAAGTCTTTTTTGCAATCAGAGCCTATCTTGAAAAAAAAATCTGAAATCCATTCAGTTTTGTAGATATTAAGACAAAAAACTCAAAACCATAGAAGGAATCCCTTTTCAAAACTTATGCATGGTTTGTACATGCTTAAACACACCAGTAAAGCATCTGAATACACATAAATATATTATGCACCAGCAATCCTATGTGTTGTGCACTTGTTATTTTTAACCTCTGACCCCAAGTTAGTACACACGGATAACAACACAGAACAATTTAATGAGATATAATACAGGACAGTCCACTCCAATGAGATGAACTCACCAGAGGTCAACAAGACAAACGCCTGTTAGGGAGGCTATTATTATGACTGTCTCTGCAGTTTTAACTTAACATTATAACATATGATCTAGTTGATATTTTTTTTTTTAATTCATTTTAAGAATTATATTATTTTGATGTTTTCTAAGCAAACAATTCCAGACCATAAGAAATATTTATTTACTGAATAAATGACATAAATTACAAGGCCAACTGTGAGAATATCGTTAATTGAGATCAGTCTACTGGTTATGCTTCTGTGATCATATCCTGCAAGGCGATTGGATACATACGTTGGCAGCCATATTTGTTGTCATATTCATACTCTTGATCCCAATTAATTTTAAAACGTCTACACATATGTACGTATTTTTGTCAAAAATATGTACAACACATTAACATAAACATTTCATATTTTCAACGGCCGCACTTATAAACATGACAAAACACTAAACGGCTCGGTTCCGGCACCGGAAATGTGAGAGATACAATTGAAAGCTACGGTAATAATAATCGGGCGACATTGGGGGATTATGAACTGTTCGCTCGGATCGGACAAGTAAATATTATTTGATTGAATATCTATGAAAATGCAACATATTTGATGTACGGCTTTACAAAACGGTGATTAAAATGAACATGTGTCGAAAGGTATGGTCAGATAAAGTAACGATCAGCTGAGCGGCTGGACGGGGGGACGCGATCATCGCCTCCCTATCCACAAAGACAATATTGTTAACTCTCCACGTACCTCTAAATGGCCCAAGGATGCAAAGCTGGATATGGCGAAACCGTCTATTATGTCTTCCTCGTGTGAACTTGAACTCCGTCTGCGCTTATGCCGTGGTCTTGACCTCTCCCGATCTCTCAGTGACGGTGGTCTTTCATCGTCGTCCCCACTCCCGATGTCATTATTATGGTTGTGTTGTTGCTGCTGTTTCATTTCAGCAGCTCTCTCTCGTCTCTTGTGTCGTTGCGACCTCTGTTTAGCGTCGTTTTCCATCTAAACCCGCCCAAAACGATACATGAACTGATCTGTAACCAACACCCCGATACTAGAGGGGAATTTGTGAGAAAAATCGTAAATAACTATGATAATTCGGTGGAAAACCGAGCAAGTCCTCGAACCAGCATGATCCTTTAGTTAGTCGATATCCCGACCCTGAGTGCGGAGAGATACATGAACTCGAGAAGTGGGTCGGTGTGTGCTTCCGCCGGAATATAGAACCAACATACAACGCACTATAATAGTGCACTGAGGTAAACCAGTTGGGCGATACATATTTAATATTTCGTTGACATCATTTATTCTAGTTCCTTTTAACCCGATAATTGTTCTTTGCATCGAAAACCAATATTTGCGAAACCAGTACCAAACACGGGAAAGATAACAAAATCTCTAGAGGTCGCTGTTCTCCGAGAATGATCGCTTTGAGCATTTAAATTTAATTGTGATATAGTAGACCTTTTTTTCTTTCGAACACCACTATTATTACATTGAGAGGTATTCGCATGATTTCGGTTGTATTTGGTCTAGTCAAAACAGTAATGTATTAAAAAAATGAAAGCAAACATGCTTTTGAGTTGTGTGACCTGCTGAAGAGATTATGAATATCGACTGCCAATAATCAAATTTAAGAAACACATCGCTGTGACATTTCAGCTGATCACCATAGGAAACGTGTTGTGTCTAATAAATATTATTAATACGAACATGTCTATCATATGAAAACATGTGTTGTAAACTTGTACATTTTATAATACACCAGGCTTCTGTCACGTGCTCTCTCGAGTATGCGAATTTCCAAACAATAATCCACATTAAAAAAACAAAACAAAAAAACTTGTTTACAGTGAACGAAAAAGCGGATACTCAACTTGCTGTATTATATCGAACGCACGCCTACATGTCGTTGCATTTCTTAGTTTGTTTTTTTCTGTTCGTAGTAAACAAGGTCCGGATACTGAATCCCACAATATACCAAGCACGCCTACAAGTCGTTACATTTGTTTGGTTGCTTTTTTGTTTGTAGTAAGCACGGTCCGGATATTAAATGGCATAATCACGCCTACATCTCGCCCACATCTCTCTACGTTCCACAGTGGCGGATTCAACAAAATGTATTTGGGAGGGGGACAAGCTTCGCTTAACATTACGGAGCGAAAATCACAGAGAAGCTATGCGTAATCCAGATGATATGAATCGTCATGCGTTTGGGGGGCATGCCCCCCCCCCTCTGGATCCGCCACTGACGTTCCATATATTAGCAACCAGTTATAAGTTCCCAGGAGCGTTGCTGAGATATTAGTCACATGACTGCCACACCACTAAAATTTTAATATAGAAATCCACGTATCAAAAAACACAACACAAAAAAAAACGTACATTTATGTAAATCAGTTTTAACTACACGAAATGCTAGTCTTCTCTTACAGACTCAAAATGTTTTTCTTACAAGGTAGTCACTGTTAACACCATAAACTTAAGACATTTTGGTTGATGGTTTTTGACAAAATTTGTGTTCCACATGTTACTGTAAAATACATAATTTTAGCTGTAATTAATTTTCACTGAAAATACTCTTTGGGGCATGTTGTATGGATTTTTAAATAATTTGTGTTGAGTATTGTTTATTGACTACGTACGTTGTGCTAACGGCCATCCAGTTTCACCGAGGCTAATTACGTCATAGAAGTGGTTCGTCACTGGAGAACGCGACTTGCAAGAACGGTATAATAAGATGTTAACAGACAATATTATTAGTCTTTGAGGTTTACATCTCTAATTGGAAAAACACACAACAAAACCAGGTTTTTGCGATAAATAAATGAAAAATAAAAGTTTCTAGAATCACTTCGCAATAAATTGAAGTCACCAATGGCTCAATCTACTGAACTGCGAATGTGCTTTCGGTTTAGAATCAGCAATCATCAGCTGGTCGCCATCAGTTCCAACCTTCACTGTCTTCCATCAAGAGGGTAATGCAGAGTTTACCCATTTGATGGCAAATATAAAACTAAATGTATAACGTTATGCCGCTATCTATTTAAAGCGTGGTGGTCGTCGCGCAGCGCGTGTTCGAAATTCATGTAAATAAACAATGTATTTTACACGCGTTGTATACGTCCCTATGAGTCCCATATCGAACAGGACGTGGCAGGACGATTGCCGCCCTTTAAGTCTAAGGACTGCACATTTTTTAAATTGGAAAAAGGAGACACTGAGTCACTTCTTTGTCAAATGTCCTGTGGTTGAAATGTTTGAACACATGTACTCAAACGGAGAAGTTAAATTGGTCTGAATAAAATACTATCACCAGACAAAATTATGATTGGGGATCCATAATTGCCGACATTACCAAATTCTCTGTTATTGGTTGCTAGGAGACATATTTACACTCTAGATGTGTGGACAGATCATCATCTTTCAATCAATTCACAAACCATATACAACGAGTTAAGTTAGTAGAATGTGTAATTGCAAATAAACGTGATAAATTATGGTTACATTTAAAAACACGTGGGGTGAATTCTTGAAAATGTTGGACAATGTCTTGCACCCTAGTGACTAGTAAATGAATTGTAGTTTGAAATCTGTATCAAGTGATTTAAACATTCTTATACTGTAGAATTTTGAGCCTTCAATAAAAAAAATAACATAGTTGTATCACGGTTACTAGTAACCGTGGTTGTATAAATAAAAAAGCTCCCGAATTTAGGATGATCACTAAGCTAAAGAAAAAATCGCCATGGCTTAAACCACGTGGTCGAGTCCTTATGATGATATCCACCCACAAAATCGAACAAATGCGATGAACCAGCGGGCAACAACAAAATGAACAATTGCTAGCAAAGATCAATCCCTGATCAATCTTTGTAACATGTGCAACCAAGGTCATATTGAACGTGAATTTCATTTTCTAATGGAATTTCATCAATATAAAACCCACCGCAAAGAATATTTCATATTGGTTAATACCCAGCTGTGATACAATATTGTGATGCTTGAACCAACAGTTCATCAAATAAGTAAATAAGGTCTTGGACAGAAATTACAGGGGGGTGTTTTTAAGGGGAGGGTACATATTTTTCATGTAAGCGATTGGGGGAGGGTAACTTTATTTTGTGCACACATAAAAACAGGGTCACTGTTTTCTGTGAATTAAATATAATGATTATAATATCCAAAAAATGCAATAAAACATTGTGTAAATTGACCAATTTTAATAAAATATAACAAATTCATGTAGGTATTGTTGCTTTAATAAAACAACTATATAACAGTCATAAACTCAACAAACACAATACTAAAATAAGTGGTGCTGACTAATACCCAGGCAAACAGTAAGAGGTATAGCTAAATTAAAAGAAAAACAATGTAAATAACGTCTCAGTAATCACTGCTTAAAAATAGAGACTGGCAGACATGCAAAGCCAAGAATGCCAGTCAGTGCTGGGATTCATAACGAAACATGCAAAATTGTTGAGCTTGATAATTTCCCCAAAATATTAGTCTAAATGCAAGAGAAATGTTTTGCTGTATTTTTTGTATTAAATAGTGCATTTTTATTAGTTATTATTTTCTTATTTTTTCCCACTTTTCTACTTTATTTTATAAGCATGCCTGACATAAAATTTTATTTCTTACTTGAACTTTTCTTTTAGAACAATTGCTTTATTTTTCCTTTAGTTTTGTTTGTTATTTTAGTCATATATTTTATCTTTAATTCTTTGTTAGCATTTTAGTGATTATGTGTATTGTTGTAACCATTTGCCCCCCCGGGGGGGGGGGTGAGTTAGAGTCAATAAAGTTATTGTTAATCAGAATCCTCCTTTCCTCTAAGTTACTGTTTTCAGTATCGCCCTCTGTGCCACCCAGTCTGCTCCTCGGTTTCACTATCTTCATCAAATACTTGGGCAAGATCTTTAATTTCAAGATAAACATCATTTGTAAGTTTGTTTTGTTTTAGGCTGTTCATCTTGGTTTTTTTACAGTATTCAATCCTTCAAAATACAAATCATCTTCACTTATGATGGCATCGCCATCAACACGTGGTGCTATTTTGGCCATCGCGTCTGCAATTCCATCACTCATTCTGCTTTCTCTTCGTTTTCTTTTGCAAGACGTCTATTTTGCTTGATTTTACGTTTTTTATTCTTGTCTTTCATATTTTTTTTCTAAGAGTCACGGTGTCCAGCAATTTCTGTACCTCTGTATTTATACTATTAATGTTAAAGCAAAAGCAAAAAGTTAACGTCTTTAAAAAAAACATCATATGCAATAAGCTTGGTGATGTGAAGCAATTAGTGAAAACTGATTAATGCCTATATTGCACAAAGATTGCACATGTAAAAGTAATGAGAAAAGACACAAGACAAAACAAAATGTTAGTGACAGCATAGATGAAGGAAGTGAGGTGGAGAGCAGTGAAGATGAAAGTCCCAAAGAGAGTGAAGAAGATGAGCACAATGAAACTGATGATAATGATATAGTGTTGGCTGAACTGGGTAACTCTTATGAAGCACAGAGTGAGGAAAGTAGTGAGAACAGCGAGCCTATTCAACCAATTCTGCTCTCCAGATCTGGGCGGCGAACCACCACATACTTCACAAGGCATTTTTTTCTGGAGACTGAAGCACTTTAAATTATTGTACTTTTGATAAATAGAGTGTGGCCTGTCTCCTATTGACTGAATCACACGTGACATATTTGTTCAGTGTATTATTGATTCTGAAACCAGTTTTTTGAAGAATGGCAACAAGTATGTCAAAACACAGTTGGTGGATGTACATCCCTGTTTTTCTTGATGATGAAAATATTTTTAATTATAGAATGTTTAAAGGGAAATATTACAATCACAGGGATTGCACTTGGTGTTTATTTGCATGGAAGTGGCAGTCTTTTTGTAATCGGCATATTTAGTTCAAGATAAATCCGATTAAAAACGTTCACCTTCAAAGGGATATTTCCAGTTAAGCCTAGTCTCACAAAACTTTCTGGATTAAAAATAACAATAGATACCGAAATATAGATTAACATTGTAAACAACATAAACAATAGTGTCCCATGATTCTATTTATTGTGCATGAAAAATTATAGGGCCAGGTATTTGTATGCGCACAGTAGGGAAGGGGAACTTTTTTTCTTGTACACATTT